GTTTTTTTCAGAAGTCTCTTTTTGTGATGCAGTAATTTCAGTATACTTTATATTGCACAGTGGAACTCATTTGATTGAATAGAAAGGATGGAATTATATTGTATGCATGTTAAATATAATCATGAGAAGAAAAACTGTGTAGTCAATTATTTTTAGACACTTAGCTTTTTAGGTATTCAAATCAACTAGTTAATTCGGCTAAATCAATACGAGTCTTTTTTGTTTCATTCTTCTGATTTCAATAGCCAGTTTGATGTTTATACCTGAAAATACTTTTTTTTTTTTTTAATCTGTTAATTCATGTGCATAGCTGTTCTATTGCAAACAGGAACTGGATGTTTTTAAACTATTCATTCAAAGTGTCATCTAGCAGGGTGGTGAGCTAATTTACCAACACTTGCATTTGTAAATTACATGGCATTGATCACAGCTATTCTTAGTTGATGACTTTTCGACTGGGAACATACTTTGATCAGATTAGCTAAATAAAACTGGAGGTCGTGCTTGAGGGGAGGCCTGTTGGAGAATATGTTTAAAACTTTCTTCCTGCCAAGGTCAGTGTAGGAACTGATGGTTTTATTCTCCTATCATCAGAAAAAAATATGGACTGTAAAACAAGCAGTTTTATCATGGTTTTCAGTTGCCTGTACCATAGATAATATTTGTATGAAAAATAACATATTTTCTACATCTTTTGACTTATTCATTTTTGTCTTGTCTAGCCTGTTTCATCTGTAAAATATTACCAATAATATTATGATGAGAATAAGCATTTCAGTGGGTGAAGGTGATTTGTGGTGTTTTATTTTGTTCTGAAATGAATAAAGGTGGCTTCAGTAAAATCGATTGAAAAGAAGCAAAACGTGACTTATTCTCTCATTTTCAAACCCCGGGGTACTCCAAGGTTGCCATGGTAAGTGTTTGTCTTATCAGTTATCATTTATATTCAAAAGCAAACAATTAAAGTCAATTAAAGTTTCATTTAAAACTTAACCAAATTATGTCAGAAAACCACCTACGGATTAGGGTGTTTTAAGTCCGATCAGATTTATCACATTAGGCAAAGATGTTTGTCTCTAAAAGATTTCCAAAGGAGAATAAATCATTATGAAGCACCGAAAAATAAATACAAATTTCCCTATAATTCAAATGTGCCAGAGCACCGAGGAAACGACATCAAGCTGTGAGGTATTTACGCCTCCAGGCGGCCACGTACAGCCACTGGTCCTGAACTTCCTGTAATGACATCAGAGACCACCAGTCCACCAGGGCAGGCATCAAATATTGTTTATCACTCGGCAATATTTTCCCTGTCTTTCTTTTTTTCTTTCTCTTTTTCGTTAGTGGGAAATGTTTCCTGTGCTTTAAAACCATCCCAGTGGCAATATATCAGAACAAACATCTCTCTTTTTTTCGTTTATTTTTTTCCAGGAGGCTTCACAGTGTTAGGGTTTCTATTTAAAACATATATTCATGAAAAATGCATATGCAGGATACCATCTTTTATTTAGCGCAGACACAGGTATCGCTAAAGAATAGAAGATTTTATTCCGGAGAATAGCCTGCCTGATAATTGAATCAGGCATGTTATTATTCAGGCTATTATTAACTCACAACCTTGGTAAAATAAGGGATTTTGCTACTTTCAAAGAAAGCAAAAAATATTAAGATTGTTTGGAAATTGGAAAAAACTGAGGTGCTTTATTTAGTTAGCATGTTCAGTGTTAAAGTTCATCCCAACAAAAAAATTAACAAATATGGCTCATCTGCTGTGGCCACAAATAAACATTTCCTCTTCAAAACAAATATGGCAGCACAGTAAAGGTGGTTGGTCATAATGAGTTGCAACATATTTAACCAAAATGAACATATCAGCACCTCATACTAACTATTAAGCCTGGTGGCAAAGGGACAACAATATATCTTTTTGTACATTGTATACGATTCCTTGTCTCTGGTCATTAGTTGCAGAGTCGTTGCACATCCACTCTGTTAGATTTCCTTCATCCCTTAAAGAACATATAAAAGCATAATAGTCAGGTGCAGTGACAAAGACTTGCACCTCCAACGTGAGTGGCCTTAGAGGGGAGCGCTCCAGCTGTCCTTGACCTTCTTCACTTGGACTACAGTGAGGTGATGATTGGAAGATACACAGCAGGAGGTTATGACAACTACTGATAGCTGCTACTTATTGATTTTGACATAATTTATCTCAAAAACAGCAATAAAAACAAACAAAAAAAAACAGTCTTGACCAATCAGGAGGAGCATTTAGAGGAACCCAGTTCCATGTGACAGACACCTCTTGGTGCTCTCAAGTGGTAACCAGGCTTAGCATAGCACTGTCTTTATCATCTTTAATCTTTGTGTAGTTACTTTGTGGTTTCCCAACAACCTCTTCCTGGATTCTTTGACCCACCATCCGTTTTCCCCGTTTTCTCCTCGAGACCTACTTCTCCGATTGCCTTCCTGTTGTCATCGCTCAGGATCAGTTACCAGGCCTCGCCACCTTCCAACGCTACACTGAGAACCTTCACCTGGAAACAAACAAACAATCACCCAGGGAATTGCTTAGAAGCTCTCAGTTGACCTCAACTTCAGTGGATGGGCCTAAGGAACCTCCTCTGCATCTCAGTTTACACCAAACTGTGAACCTATTTTAAACTTTTACCTTTCCCCCCAGTGTGAAGCCAAACCAGTTTCCTCCTCCAGCCGTCACTTCTCCCGAATGTTCATCCACCAAAAAATAGTAAACTTTTTCAGTTGCCTTATTGTGTCTGTAATTGTTGTTTGCTGCAGAGTCCTATTGCCAAACATGACATTTCAGTTCAGTTTATGAATTTAAATTTGAGCTGCAGACTGCTGTGCTACCTTTGACATTGTGTAATGCAACTTTAGTCTGCTGCTGTGTGCTCTATTTTTGTGCTTTATATGTATTTGTTTGCTTCCACATATTCACCAGTACCAGAATTGGTAATGAACAGGCCTGGACACAAATGTAAAAATCAGAATTGCTCTGCATTCAAAGCACACAAGCTGACTATTTAAATTAAAACTAAGATGCTGACGTCAGTCATCGCACTCATAAACTGTGATTAAGTTTTAGCAAATAAAAACTGAAAGGGAATTGCTACTAGATTGTTACAATAAAAGTGCAAAAGCAGGAGATCTGCTTTCCTCCCACATACAAAAACCTTTTATCAAAAATATCTAACAAAAAATTCTAATAGCAGCTTGTAAATGTCGTCTTTTGCATTACGGCGAACCAGTCCCTGTCATATTTATACATCTTTAAAAGGTAAGGTTTTTTTGTGCCGTTAGAACGAACGTATGGCAGCAAATGTAAAGGCAACCATTAAGTTTTTTTAGTCCATTAAGTCCACTCAAAATGGAACTACAAAGTAAGCAAGAGAATGACTCACGCCTGTGCATTTTATCATTGAAAGTTTCAGCAGAAGTTTGTACTTAAAACATAAAGATAATTTTAAGAGATAAGAATGACTCAGAAACCAGCTGACTCTCGTTGTCAATTCATGCAGTTAAACGGCTTGAATCGCTTCAGAATTCAAAGTAGACAATAATTACTCAGAATTATTGAAAAATGTCAAAAACTAAACAACTTTTAATGTTTATTAGACATGCTTTATTATAATACATGACATAGCACAAGCGAAATTGAAGCAGAAAACTTTAGTCGCACAGATAAATAATAAGCTTTAACACTGAGTGATTCAGAGAAAGACAGAAATAAAGAGCAATGAGTATAAATTATGTACACTTTATAGGAGACCTCTGACAGCCAGAAGAGTTATCGTGGATATACTCTGTACTTTAACTAGCCTCCTACTAAAAGGTTGCTCATCTGTCATGCCTACCTGTAGTAAAAAAGCAATGCTGATAATTGTAATGATTCTATACTATTATGATAGTCAATACTCAATGATCTGCAAAAAACAACCACAAGCAAAAACTCAGTGCCTTCCAATGTCAGCTACAGTAATATTTTTTTTAAATAACAAATTGGGTACATTCACTAAAAACAAACAACATGTTTACAGATTGTTTTCTTTTCTATAACAGGATTATGACACTCAAACATCATGGTACATAATTGTGCCAATTCACACTGGCACAATTATTAACCATGTTGAACACAAGAATGATCACTATTATCTACATTTCGCACACATTCAACAATTAAATAAAGCTTCCAGTTGATTTTATTGTGAGCCATAATTCTGGATATGGCAGCCGTGACTCATGCATGTCCAATTTAAAATAGAAAAAAGTGAACAAAAACTGAACTCTCTGGAGACGGCAAATTAAAAAAACACACTTAAATATGACATGTAATAACATTTCATATTTACTACACAGCAAAGCACTTTAGCATACCTCATAAAATGCAGCAATGTCTCCAAAAAGGCAAAAAAGAAAGACCTTTTACAAGTAATTTCAAAATAAAAGGAATGAAATATGAAACTGTTCAGAAATAACATTATTGTAAGCTTGGATTGATTTGTAGAGACACAAACTTCTTATATGTGAAACAATACTTTTACATATTAAATGATCAATTTCTGATCTTTATTATGTCATTATAAATTGTTGCAGTGTCTCAGTTATTTCACCTAGCGTATAGTAAAACAATATAATTAGTGACTACAGAAATATTCTACTTTGCACAAACAATCTTCTGTATGCGGCATTCAGGCAAAATCTTTGCTGACTTGATATTTGTGATTCATTTCTGAATGCCATTTTGTATATCTGATGATGAAGGTTTGGTGTAACAAATCTTCATCATAAGCCATTTTCTTTCAATTTGTTCATGTTTTTTTTTTCCATTTGTGTGTCATTGATTCTTTCTTTTTGCACTTTCTATTTTCAAAGCAAGCAAACAAGAGTCATGCCATAGGCTGAACTTCAGCCAAATGACATTAATGTACTTTTCTGTTTAAATCTACAACATAAAACAGGTTTGTTTTGCACAGAAGGTGCAAGGTTTGTATGCACAGAAAAAAAAGATAAATATCTTTTATACAAACATTTACTCAGACATACCATGACTGTACACTCATAACACCTTAAGCCAATGGTGGCCTGGCAACTGTGACCATTCGAGTAAATCTAAATGTGCCCTCGAATGGTTCTCCAACCCTTAATGTTCATCTGAGGTCCTGAACATACATGCACATGAACACAACATCAATCATCCCTTTGGTCCCCCAAAACATCAATACTAAACCAAATATATAGACGACATGTCAGTTTATACCAAATATCTACATTTTGTACAGTTCTGAAAATATGTTGAAGATGCATTACAGTTGCACATTTTTTTTTTTTTTTTTAGTGTTTTACATCCTTGACAAAGATGCAAACACACTGAGCGCAATAAGTAATAAGGAATAAAAGTTCGCTATACCGCCAAAAATATTCATATTGACTTTCCAAGTTGTTGCCTAGACATAACTTCATCCAACCCAACCACCTCGATTCCCTTGATTATATTGCGGTATGTGATTTTAGCATTTCATTCATTCCAAAATAAATAAACCAATCATCAAAGCAAAATATAGGGGAAAAAAACTGTTTGACAATGGATAAAAAGCAATTTCCTGGTTGACTCAAATGACATCTTTTATGAAAGTTGCAATAATGAAATGATCATTTTCATTTACATGGACAGCAACTACTTCTGAATGCTCAGCAAATAAATTCACTGTCTGCCCAGAGTTTTCATTTCAGCCTTTCAGAACTGGAAAAATAGATTTCACAGTGTGCTGTATCCCTTTCCATCTCATCTCTGCAGAAAGATTGGTGCGCAGATGGAGACTTTCACATTGACCGGCAGATATTATAACAGAACTGATGGAGCGAGAAACTGCTGAAAAAAGGATTACAGCGCCAACAAAAAGTGTAAATATATACCCAGTGAGCAACTTCTATTTGAGTTTTTGTCAAGAGGATCTCTAAATGGTCAATAGAGTAGACTAGTCTAGGATAAAGTACATGTCTGGTATAAAATTGAAATCCTTTTCATTGTCTGAATTTAGTTTTTACATGTTTATTACGGGTTTAAAGTAGATTTATTTGAGCTGAGCTTGATATGCATACAGGAGCTAAACTCATGAGAAATCGGTTTGTGATGCAGTGTTGTCGTTAGGAAAGCTATAAAAAGCATAATAACATGCAAATAGGATGTAAGTCCAGGATTTTAAAATAAAGAGTTTTTGCTTTTGGAAATAAAATAAAAAAAAAAATAATAATAATTTGCCTTGGAGATTTTCTGTCTTTTTTGAGCCATCGCAGTTTTACCAGTAACTCTCTCACTGAGAACTATGTGTGATCCTAAACATTTGAGGTGAATAGTAATACTTGCTTAAATCGAATGCATGTTTTAAGAATAAATTAATCAATTTAATTTGAATTGCAAATTAAATTCTGAAAAAAATATGTCACATTATATTTTTTATTTGTCCTGGTCTTTCTTTAGACTGACGACTTCCACATTTATATTATTTTTTGGGAATCATTAGCTGTATTTCTGGCCGTCTTGTGAAAAGTGCTCCTGTAGTACCTGAAGATTTGGCCTAAAAACAACCAAAACTTAAAAAAGGCATTAAATGACATGGTGAATGCAATCAACAATCAAAATGATGAAAAATAACCCTAAACTGAAGTGCCTTGATAGATTTGAAGCATTGACGTATTATTCTAAAATTTCCTTGCCTACCCTATAAAAAATGCTTCACTATGAATGGACACCTTGTAAATAAGTTGATTTGTTTTGGTAAAACGACAACTTAAAAGTATATTTATTATGTAACTATCCCATCAGTTAAAACTCTTCAGTTTAAACTGGCAGAAACTTTATATTAATATAAAACCACCTGCATTGTTGCTTTATAATCTGCATTTCTCACCTAAAAAAACATCCAACACTGATTGTAAGGCCCAGTGTCTTAAGAGCTCCTCTCTGGTGAAAGTGTCCTTATCGCTCCCCTGCAGCTTTGCCTCTGGCACCTTTACCTCAAAGACAAGTTTCAGGTAAAAGTCAAGTCTCTCTCTCTTTTTTTTTTTCCCTACCCTGTGTATATGCCCTTTGGGTTTTTGTCTCGTCTAGGTCTACATTTTAAGTATTTGTAAGTGTATATATGTATGTTCCTTGTTCTCCTGTTAAAATCAATAAATAAATGTTAAAAAAAAATAGTCAAGTCTCTCATTAACACATGAACCCAGTTAATGCTATGGTTTAAGAAATGTAGCATGCTGTAAAGTTTGCAGAACAAAAGCTGGGGATTGTATGATGAAAAATCTATTAACAAGATTTGATTACCAGAGGTAAGGCCAGATCATTGTCTGACTAAACCTGATTGATTACAGTGCAGTCCCTATGATCAGGTGACTTTATTACAGTTTGTTGCACTTTTAATTATTAAACATTTTAGTCTCAGCAAAATCAATTATGAAAAAATTATTTTATTACCCGCCTGGATTAAAAGTCTATTATTACATATCTAAATCATAAAGTTCCTTTGCAGCCATGTTTGCATGTTTCTTTAAGCAGAAAAACAATTAAAAAAAAAAAACTGAATGGATAAAAATTAATTTATTTACCACTAATTGTGCTCTCTCAGTGAAACATAAATATGTTAGATCTAATGCCATCCTTTCAAACTAACTGTATGTCTCTTCTTAATTTCTGAATGGTGTTTGTTCTGTAAGTGTGTTACTTTCTGAGGCTACAAAATAAACCTCATATTTTCACACAAACTGGATTTTTGCAGACAATGTTAAGAACATCTTTTAAAGCAGACACAAAAAAGTCCTTTGTGATACATAGAAGTGGACTAGATATCCGGGGAATATTTCAGGACATGACTCAGTGACCATATTTCCACTTTCTTATTCCGGGTTTATTGAAAAGCACAACAGTTGTGAAGTTGATGTTATGTTTTTCCTAATCAATCCTTGTTCTGACCCTTATTTTATTAAAATTTAAAATACAATTGAACCCAGAATTGTTCATAAACCTTTTCAGAAAATGCATTTATTTTAATTTCGTCACCATGTTTGTGTTTAATGTGAAACGAGACAGGCATTTCTCAAAGGATAATAATTTAAAATATACAATTATTTTAATGTTTATTTGTTGTTAATAAAAAAAATGGCATGTTGAGAATTATTTAATAAACTCAATAATCAATGAGCTTACTGAAAATCATTGATCCTTCTTGTAGTCGAGAAGGATTTGATTACAGCAGTCAAATCCTTCTTGCATGTCTCTGGGATTTTCAGGATGTCTTTGGTGATGGACTCTGAGTCTTTGAGGTTGGAAGGCTCCTCGCCATCACCCTAATCTGTAATCATCTGTAATCCCTGTCAGATTCAAGTCAGGATCCTGGTTGGGAAGCTCAAAAACATCAGTTTTACTTCCAGTCATGTGAAACATGTAGGTAAAGTTAAGGGTTTACATTAAAATCTAGATATCAAAGGGTTCTGTTGATGTTTTGAAGCAGTTAATGATGTTTTTGCACCTGCTGATGGAGTAAAAGTCTTAAAACGCCTTATGCTGAAATAAAACACACCTTATTGGCGCAAATGTTTTAAAATATAATATTGGTAACATAGCTGAAGCCAAGCTAAGCTACAAAACAATTTGATAAAACTACAAAACAAATACAGTAGCTAAGTGTTGTAATAATGTAGTATTTTTATTTTTTTATTTTTTCATTTCCAAAAATCACTTTTAACAAAAAATGACTTATGCCACTTTTTTAGGAAAATGGCAACATGTAAATAACATTACATTATGTCTAAAAAAATATGAAGACTGAAATATTTTAATCTGTAGTAACCCCAAATGTGTTGTATCAGAAATCTAGACTGTCATGCTTGAAAATTAAAGTTGTAAAAGCCCCCATGTCTTAAGCAAAAGAGACCAAAGCACAATCTGAACTATTTAAATTGTTTTTTGGTGAAAAACTCAATAAGACAAAAATAACTGTACTATACAGAAACCTTCCTTATTCTATTCTGGAGAATAACGCATGATAAATAACTATAAACACTGCTGTTTCGGCTTTCCTCCTGCTCCTCTGAGGAACATTTACAGGCAGCATAACGGCAACATATTACATTTTAAATAGGTTGTTGGCAAAAACAAGTTTGTTTTACCTTCAACCGAATCAATTCAGTTGGTTTAGATCAGTGCTTGCAATTATTTTCCTGTTTTAGCACAAGGAGCTCAGCTGAAGGGCTTTCATTAACTCTGAGCACTTCTGTACACACTACTTAATTCATATGGAAATTAAACGTGTCAACAAGATATGCAGCAGCTCTTTCTCAATTTCAAATGAGGGAAATACCCCAGTATTCATATCTATTTTTAATTTAAGAGTTGTTGATCTAAGCACAGCCACACAAAAACCACACGTATTAGCACAATAACTAGTTAAAGAGGGAAAGCTGCGCATGTGTGTGTGTGTGTGTGTGTGTGTGTGTGTGTGTGTGTGTGTGTGTGTGTGTGTGTGTTGAGGAGTGAGGGGGAAGGGAGGGTGGTATCAAGAAATAACAGCCTATGTGACCCCCTAGGGAAATCACTCTCTTACAGCTCTCCGGGAAATAAATACACTTTTCAAGTGCAACTCGTAAACAACAAGCCAGACGGCTGTAATACAGTATGCCTTCAATGAGGGGCATTTATGTCCTGGCTGCAGTTCAATGTGGTTAAATAACTTTGATTACTGGAAAATGATGGCTGTTTCTCCAGTGTTTAACAATGGGATCTGATTCATTTTTGTGCTAAAAACAATATATTTTTATTTTTATACTCTCAGTATGTTTTAATGTGCTAATTTTAGATTGGATTTACATATCTTAATGCATGTTGACAGTTGTACGTCCATCAAGCCTAAATGGTGCAACCGGCTAGATGAATGTGGGGTTCTTTTGTTTCAGAGATAATCAACTGTTCATGCTGTTACTTTGTCATCTGTGTGAAAGGATGTCTCAGAGGATTTGAATGCTTTGTCTAGAAGATGCTAACTTCCTCCTGGATTATTTCAATGTGCCTCTGGGGAAGGTACTTAACACCAAGCTACCGACTGCACATCCATGTCTAAATGTTCATGAGTGCAATAGGTGGATGTGGCTCGAGCGATAAGGGCTTTGAGTGGTCGGTGTAACCAGAAAAGTGCTGTATACATTCAATACATTACCTTTCCTTTATCAGGCACACCTTTATAGTATCATATTGAACCTCCTTATGCCTTCAGGGCTGTCTTCATTCGTTATAAAATAGATTCAACAAGAATGAAACATTCCTCAGGGGTTTTGGTCCATTTTGACAGGATAGAGTCAAGCAATTGCAGATTTGCTGACTGACCATCCAGAAAGCAGGTTTCCCATTTCCCCACATCCCAAAGGTCCTCTGTTTGATTGAGATTTGGTGACTGTGGAGGTCACTGGAGAAAAAATCTCTCTCTCTCTCTTATTAGAAATACTTTTCCCTTCCTTTTCATTTTGCTGCGCATTAAATATGGTCTCTGCTTTGGACCATTCGCTATGCAGAAGCTGCTGTGCGTGGAAAATCCTAATAGTTTCTGAAAAACTCAGACCACCTCAACCATGCCTTGCTCAAAGTCACTTTAATCCTTTTTGGTTCCCACTTTGGTTGCTTTGTTTGACGTCCAGCAGCTCATCTTCATCATATCTAGATGCCAAAATGCATCCAGTAGTTGCTATGTGATGGACTGAGTCGTTACTTGCATTACCGAGATGCACATCCTTTCTGTTACAATGAATTTAAACATCTTTGTTAGTCAAATAAAGTCCATGACTGACATGTTGAACTCAGAAAACGCCACACTAAAATGTCTAGCGCTACACAACAATGACCCACACTCTTGGTAGGTAATTCGTCTTGAGATTGACAGCACTGTGCTTCTGTGCACTCTGTGAAATATGTTCTCCAGTTTAGCCTGATAGGTCTGAAGCTGAAACACATTTAGTGTGAAGGGACTGTGGGCGCCAGAGTCAGTGACAAACAAGGCAGACATGACAAAGAGAAGCCCCTAAAATCTGGCATCCACTCTGTAGCCCACAGATAAGCTCAGCTCTGATAGAAAGTCATGAGCTCATTCACAAAGCTGCACCAGACAAATACATTCATCAAAGGGCAACTCTGACTTTTGACATTTCGTTAAAACCGTAGATATTTCTGATGGTAATCTTCCTCGCATATGTGGCCAATGCACAAACCAGCAAGCCCACGCTGTATGGGATTCAGCAAGATAATAATGTACAGGTTCTGTCTGTAAGACTAAGTTCAAAGAAGTGAAGAAATCCAGCCAGTTTAACAAAGCTCTGAAATGAAGTCTTTGTTGTATTCAGAAACATGTCCTATACTCAAAAATCCCTATGCCTCAATTTAAAATAGAGGTTTCTACTTTTACTTTTGCTTTATTTATGATTGCATGTTCCATAGCAGGTCTTTCTTTTTCTCTAAAATGAGCGGATTTCATGGAGGACCTTTATGTTTGACTTCAGAGGAGTATTGGTCAATTTTGGTATTTGTCTACCCATCTTTTTTCGTAAATGGTATAGGACATTTCATTTAGGTCATATGCATTAATTTGTACCCTCTTTGGAGATGCTTCCTCACAGAATTTCCTCCATGTTTTCTGTCTATGGTTCAATAAAGGCCACTAAAATCTCTAAAAAAATAACCTTTCCTCAAGGTGCATCAATAAGGTGAAAAGTTTTAAATAGTTTTATGACTGTTTTTAAAAGTAACACCGTAGAGTCTTGAGATTGAACTTACTTTCTGCTTAGAGTACAAGCACTAGTTGAAAAACTTGATTCAACTCTTGAAAAATAATTAAAGGGATAGTTCACATTGTTTAAAGTCACCTGGAAGTGTTCACTGTGAATTTGTATGGATGAAGAAATCCTTGGAGTGGTGAAATGTTAACAGCTAGCCTATTTGGCTTTTAAAATAAAAACAAACAGTTTAGGTTAATATTTCAGATCACATTTGTGACTGTTTTCTCAGCTTAACATATGTAAGACTTTAATTAAGTTGGCCAAATTAATATTAACCAGGAAGTGTGGAGGAAACTTTTGAATTTGAGGACAGGTGGTATATTTTTCCAGGTCAGAAAAGTAGATCTACTAAATACTATTAACATAATAACACAGAGATTATTAAGACAACAGTGACAGAGCCAACCACTGTCTCTTACGTGTCAACACAACACAAATATTAAGGTTTTTCAGCTTGAAATGTTACCAACTGTTGAAGCTTGCCAAAAAGAGATGTCGACTTGACTTTCACATCTCTATCTTTACTTTTCTAAGAAGTCACTTTAAGAGAATCTGATAAGAACTTCACAGAACCTTGCCTCCAAAAATCTGAACTATAACCTAAAACGCTAAAGTGGCTTTTTTCTATCTAAATTTTCCTGTTTTTGTCCAAGTCGCACCATGAAAACCAAAACTGAATTATTTTATAATATGCAATACATTAGAAATGAAAAAGGGACAGTTAAATTATGCTTTCATTTAATATGATCATTGAAATACTAATGTTTCTACACAAGACACATTCTATAGAAACAGAATATGTGGCACAGATTGGGTTATATAGTTTTTCTTACATCGTAGCAACAACAAAATAATAGAAGAGATGAAAAGTTTCTATTCCTAACATATTTTCACTGTACAACATAAAGTTTATATAATATTTCCAAGTGCCCAACATTGCTCTGTGTCTTTTTCACCTGTTGAACATTCAGCCTACTTCATCAGTTCTAATAAACACATTTTATAACTTGAAGTTTTTTTGTTTTTTTTTTCTCCACATCTAAACCCTTAAACTTTCCATTTGCCTGCTATTATGATGCCGGTAATACATGAGGCAGTCGACACAAAACAGAAGCAGCATTGTTTTTCAGAAGCAGGCACTTACGCCACAAGGCAATTAAAATACCATCATTAACACATTCAATTTTATACTGACAGCAGAATATAAAACAGAGTTTTTAAGAAGGTTGACCTCCTTCTGTAGCTACATAATGACATGTAACTAATAAAGCCTTCCTATGTCATATATATTAGTTTATTACTCCTTTGCTTGAGTTTGAACCACAGATGTAAACCCACATGCACCACTGTTAAGATTTAAGCCAAGAATTTGCCTTCAGCCACTCTGACAAGAAATAACTACATACTGCATTTTTGTGCTTTTTTATAGCTCTGTAAAGATATTCACACTGCATGATTGCGCTTCATTTCATATTTTCTACGACTGCACCTATGAGCACTGCACTGGCCTAAAAACAAAGGACGTGGGTATTGTGTTGCTGTAGAAACCGTCTTCAGCAGGTTCCCATGGTGCTGACTATGGTGTAACTGAACCTGGACATGGATGCCCCGGCCGCCAAACCGTCCTCCTCGTTGTCACGTGGCCTACAGCGGCGGCAATGTTGACAGCAAGGAGCAAAGCAGCAAGAGAAAGTGCCGAGCAGGGCCTTGCGGAAGCGCATGTTCATGAAGCAGTAGATTATTGGGTTGACACAAGCAGAGGTGTAGCTCAGCAAATGGATGAATGCAATGGGCGTCCCAGAGAGGGCACGTTCGGCGGTGACGTTATCAAAAGCCCGCCAGGTGTTGACACAGTACAGAGGCATCCAGCAGAGAAAGAACAGAACAACGATGACCACTAGCATACGTATGACTCGCTTCTTGGCCTCCAGATTGGCTCCCGATGTGGTGCTGCGGGGTCTGTGTATCTTCATGGACTGGGTTGATGCAGACATGGGGTTCATCTCCATTGAGCTTGGACGCACACAAACATAGCAGCCGTCTTCGTCGTCAGGATTATTAGACCCACAGGAAGTCAGTCCATTCTTCACATCTGCAAGAGGACAGCGGTGTCAAACGTTTAGGTATTTGTGTGATTGTTAAATGTAGCAAAATACTTTATGAATTTGATAGACTGACGAGCAGAAGAAGTTTTAGTTTAATTAAACGTAATGGTTTTGCTCTATGAAGAAGAGCACTTTACCACACTCCTCTTGAGCACCGTGCTAAGATGGAGGGAGAGTTAAAAAGGTCTAAATCCTGAGAAATATACAAAATATATAACCTACAAAGTCGTTATAGAAAATGTTTTTAACTCTACTATAGGATAGAGAGGAAAAAATGGTTTTTAATATGCATCAATTTATATCTAATCTAGTTGTGTTTACTCACATTATCTAAAAGTTTATTTCTAAGCTTGACCAAAGTGCTTTAGTGGTTTAAATCTCTGAAGAAAATGTCTAATTCAGACTGCAAATTTAATGTTTATCATATTCCACGGAAAGTATGTGTGCACTTGAGTATAATAAGCATTAACAAAAATAATCTTATGCCAAATATAGGGGGGAGAGGCTCAATATCAGCCTGTAATATTACTTATTTTGTATACAAAAAGGCAGATAAAGACTTTGGTTAAGTTAGAATAAGATGTTTGAGACATAATGTATTTTGAGTTCTCAAGATTATATATATTTAATTTTGTGGTTTGACCCTAAAGACCAAACTGTCCTTAACAGTGTAGCAGCAAGATATAATTTACTTCAAGACAAAATGCTTTCAGAATTAAGCAATCCCTGTTTTTGTTTCATCGTAAAACAAATGTTTTCTTCCACTGGTTTAAGAATGCCTTGAACTGGTAATTATTATAATTGTCCCTTTTCCCTGTAGCCGGCTGATTGATCTCTGCGGTGACACATGCACCTATTTGTATGGTTTATTATGAATGAGTCATGATTCTGCAAAAACCACCTGCTCAGCCTAATGGAGCAAAAAGAAACTTGCATTTCCTGCTGAAATGCAGTAATGACTCATAAGAGGATTTTGAAATTTATCAGTGATATTTAGTAATAATTTTTATCCATCAAAGAGAAAAGTCCAACAATAACATCTGGAGAGCCACAAGGTTACAATTTACTAACAAAAGACGGTTCGACTGGAACGTAGATGAATGTTTTTCCAATTACTACATTGTACTGTTCCTGTTTCCTTCCTTTTTATCTGTAATATGTTTTGTAGAAGAAAACAGAATACAAATAGATTGCAATGTATGAGCCTACAGTTTTACAGGAAATTGAACTCTATAACCCAGCACTACCCAGAACTCGCCCCTCTGGTTATTATTCCCAGAAATACATGTTTGTCTGCAAAAATTTTGAACTACATTTAACACAATGATGAACTGTTTTTGACATTATTAAAAATGATTCATAATTCCTAGCATACGCAATGGAAACGGAATAAAACATTGCACTATGTCTCGCAAAAGGGGTCATTATAGTGCAGGTGAAAGACACAAAATGATTATATTGCCGATATATATTTAGGGTCAACTAATCTTAAATAAGACAGAATTATATAATTATATAAAAGCATGGTTTTATGTTTGAAATGTCATACATTATAAAAATGTACACAGAAACTAAACTCTATTAAAACAACAAATTACACATTTTACTTACAAAGCACCATTTTGCAATTGAAGAAGCCTGTATGAGGACTGTATTAGCTTAACACAACACATCCGTTCAAATATAACATTAACACTCCTGCGGTCTTAGCACAAGGCTCAGTTGGAGTTCGGACAGCTTGGAAGTGTCCTGTCAGAATGTAAATTCTTGAAACCACACAGAAAAACCTCAGAATAACAAAGCTGAGGTCAGTGCAACCCTGCTGGACTGTGCACAGGGTAAAAAACTTGTAGTGTCAAATCTATAATCTGAAACTTTTCTGAGTAAAAATAATTCAATAACTGATTGGCACCACACGTTTTAACTTCAGGAGGACTATGCTGGATATCCTAACAAAAAAATAATAATTCAGTTTATTTACTTCATTTTTTTCATTCCTCTAAAGGGTTGTGCTTTCAAAAGCAAAGGCAAGCTTTATAGTATGTGCAAATCTGATCTACAAGTAACACACAAGCAGGATTGTGTCAGCAAAATGAGGAGATTATAAATAAATAAATGGCATCATGAATATCCGAAGCATATTCTGATTACCAGAAAGCCCAAAATTCTGGCAGGAGGATAGAAAAATGTAATGACATATCACCCGCAATGCGAGTTACTAAACCTGAACCAGATTGCAAGTGCTGCTTTTACTTGTATGTTGAGCACATTTGAAAAACAGGCACAAATTCTCACCTAAAATTGTCTGAAGTCAATGTACCGAAAAGGAGGCATCAATAAAATCTGTGTAATAAATGGTAAATGGTATTACCAGTAGATTCTTTGCTGAGGGCGGTCTCGGATCGGATGCCTTGATAAAGCTTCCTGGAGATCAGTCCATAGGCAACAATCATCACCACTCCTGGAATCGCGAACAGCACAAGCAGGAGAAGAACATACCTACAAGGCACACATTTGGAAAAGTTGACAAACAACTAAGATAAAGTCAGATGTGTGTCCTCATTTCCATCAGAAATAAATTAAAACTCTTCAGCCTGTAACAAAAACGAGCTGTCTTGCAGTTTCACTTCAGACTGACTCACCAACATTGCTTTCGAGTGTGTTGCCACTTGGTCACACAGTCTGACTGTTAAAACCTTTTGCATAGCTCCAACTGCTAAAGAGCCAAGAAAGTGGATATTATTTAAGTCATATTATCGGTTGTGATATTATTTGTCATTGGTCTCAACAAGAATCCTGGGGATCACATAAAAAAATCGGATAACTATCAAACTCATATCTGGTAGTTCTAAGTGATTTACAAAGTAGATAATCTAACTGTAAACAAAGAGGTTAATATAAATCTTTTTATTTCTGACTCATTTATCCTTAGTCTAATAAAGACAAAAGCAGATGTTTTCCGTGTATATTTTTTTTTCTGACTTTTCTCAAGGTTAACTTTTTATCTCCAGAAAACCACGGGGGAACGTCTGTTCCCTGCTTCTGTGCTGGTCATATTTTGTATCATGTTTCCCTTTTGGAGGCAATTTGAAATCATCCAAACACAGAAATAAGGCGTTTTGAAATCTCAGTCGTCAATATTCGTCGTCATGCTTTTTTAAAACGTATAAATATTTTAACCAAGTTCATTAACATTCAGTTAAGGCCAAAATTATAGTCAACTGAAACCATTGCATGACGGCAACAAAAAGATGGCAGATTTCCATAGTTGAAACAAAGAGCATACATTTTTTTGTAACCCTGTGAATTTCTACCAATACTGATTCATTAAAAGTTTAAAATTAATTAGAACAAGTAAAACTTTCAGAAACGTATCTGCTGTTGTTCTGTCTCACAAGGGCGACAGTAGGATGCCGAAAAGTTCTGCACAATACAGAGTTTGTTGGTTTTAGTGAAGTGATCCAAGGCATGCATAATTTCTAATTACGTCTCATTACTCCAGCAGTATTATAAACCCAGCTGAACGCCAACACCTCCATCTGCATGCACCTGCATGCATGTGTGCTGTAATTACTCTCTCACTTTGACATTGTTTATGTCCTCCATTCTTATTGATTTGTCTCTGAACGATTTAAAATGGGTTCAACAAAAGATCAACAAAACGTGTAGCACTGTAAATAGAGTTAAAAGTAATGCTTGAGATCCCTTTTGCTTTATCTCAAAACAAATTACTGGTCAGTTGGAATGGATCATAGACATCTAGAAAAAAGTATTTCCAGCTTAAATTACTATAAAAATAACCATAAAGGTGAACTTTTGATTAGGAACATAATCAGGTACATTTTGATATTTTACTGCTCAGATGGTTTATTTCTTTCTGAAATAATTGGTAGTATTTTACCATAATTAGATTGAAAGCCAATAAATTATTTTTTTTTCTTTTTTTTTTTTTTTTACAAACCTTGGATTTTAATGGATTATTCACATTCATGAATAATCAACCCAGAGCTAACCGAAGTCTGGACTGGAGTTCTTTTATCACCAACATGCTTTCGTACATGTGTTGTTAACAGAATCATGTCATGTGAATATAAGAGCAGTTAAACAAGGTGAATCTTCACAAAGTTGCAGATTTTCCCAGTCGACTATCATCTCTACAGGAGCCTACCAAATAAAAACAATGTAGAACGAAAACACTCACCAGGTCTGCTCTGCCGTTGCAACAGGCCACTTGTGGCGACACTGGTGCGCCGTGGTGTTGTCAGGACGCTTAAATGGCATGAGGTGACTGACGATCGGGTAGGGGATCATGATGATGAAGGCCAGCACCCATGTAACAGCAATCACCCGATAGGCATGGGACTGGGTCTGCCACGCCCGTGACTTCAGAGGCTTGCAGATGGCACTGTAGCGCTCAAGGGCTATGGCAACTAGGTTAAATGTGGAGATGCTCACTGATGTGCCTGCAGGGGGACAAAGCGGGACATCTAGAGGGCTGAGAAAATATTCATCTTACCACATACACAGATGACTTCTCATTTTAATAAAATAAAATTACTGCAACTCAGAATAGGGAAGAAAATGTGGTTAATGTTAAAATAATATCTGAAACTACAACCAGGCTTTATGCTGTGCAGCCAACATGTGGAGGAGAACACAGTGTTGAGGTAAATAAATTGGGCCGATGTCTGAATGTCACGGTGAAGGAAACCATGTGACTCTCTGCCAGTGATATGATCGTTCATCTACCCCCTAAAAGGACAAGACAGGAAATTACTCTTTACCTCCTTTATCCATGTCCTCGGTGACAATATATGCTGTATACGTAGAGGATGGGAAGATGGGTAGAAAGAAAACTCCAAACGATAGTTTACAATACCAGCAAACCTTCATTTTGCTTTGCCTTTCTTTTCCCCTCCACGTATTTTGTTGTGTTTTGCAAAAGTATTTATGACAAACCGACTCTTAATGTCTTTCAATGGGGATTTCTGGCAGACTAACACAAATTATCACACAGTTTAATACTTTCTAATTATAAAAAAAATCTGAAAAATTAGCTGTGCATTTGTATTTGGCCTTGTTCACGTTGACACTCATAAAATGAAACTGTTAGCTTTCAGACGTCATGAGACCAGGCTGTCTTTCCAAACTGAGTGACCGTGCAAGAAGGAGACTAGACAGAGAAATCACCTATGACTACACTGAAAGAGTTATAACCTTCAGCAGCTGAGATGGGTGAGACGTTGCATACAATAACCGTTGTCCTGGATTTTCACCAGTCAAAGTTTTATTTGAGAATGGCAACAAGGAAATCACCGCTGAAGAATATTTCCATCAAATTCTTTGGACTGATGAGATCAAAATGGAACATTTTGGCTATTTGATAAGACGTCCTGTTTGGAAGATACCAAATACTGCACATCACCAAAACACGCCATCCCGACTCTGAAGCGTGGTGGTGGCAGCATTATGCTGTGGGGTTCTGAAAAGGCTTGCAAAGAGCAAAATGAATGCAGCAAATAATAGTTATATCCTGCAGGATAATTTGTTACGGCTTCAAAGAACATTTATTTCCATTTGAGACGCATCAACACAGACTCCATGCTGTGATTTCAGCCAAAGGTGCATCTACTAAATACTGACTTTAAGGTAGTGGATATTTAGGCAACCAATTATTTTATGGTACATTTTTTTAAATTATTTTTTTAAAAATTATTTTTTTCTTTTATTTTTTTTTTTTTTTTTTTTTTTTTGTCAAAAAAGCCCAATTTTGTTGACCATGGTTGATTTGTAAGTTTAATAAAAAGGGTAAAACAAAGGGGATGTTTTAATTGTTTTACTCTTTCTGGGCACTATGTTTCTCTTCATAAACATATTCTCTGTAATTACAGTAGAACAGCGTCAGTAGTACTCACACTAAGAATCATCTTCATGCATAGGTAATTTAGTTCCCAGCAGTCTCTTCTTCAGATGCATAGACAGTGAGCTCACTCATCGCTCATTTGCAACTCCGGCACATTACTCAAATGTCAAATAAATTCTTCATGTGAAGTGACAATCCTAATAGCCTTTTAAATTTGGGGCTTTCCAATAAAATTAAAAAAAAAAAAAAGAATCTGACCAGCTCAAATGTTTGCCCATCCAGTCTATACGGGAATATAATTAGAGTCTTCTTGACGACAATGAGAATACTGTAGCAGTAAAAAAAAAAAAAAAAAAACTCATTACACACCTTGACTACTGGAAAATTACCACTTAGGAACTCCAAATGAATACTACAGATATCAATGAACCTCCCACAATTGGGAAAGGTGATTAAAACAGTCAGTGGATGTGCAGCCACTCAATAGTGATCGACCTCTTTTGTAATTTGATTGACGTCAGGTCAGGAAACGTGTTGCCTTCCTGACTACAGGAGCTGCATCTATCTGGGGTTTTATTGTAGCAAGACAATGATGGGCTACAATGTCTGAAGATGGTTTTGTTCTCTATTCATTTTCTGCTAGAAGCAAATCAGTCGCTGCTACTGGCAGTATCGCATGGGATTCCTTATAGTTTAGAAAGAGTATTTTTCTTGTATAAAACAAGGACTGTTACTACATTACACAGGGGAAGTTTTCTTTTTCTTATTCCAAAGTGGATCCAATAAACTCTAAAGCAGATTTTTAAAGTAAAAAATTACACATTTTGTTTCATGCAAAAATTTAGAAAATATGTCTTTCTCATACTCCAAAACCTTGAAACAGCTCTACATGTAAACTACCTCATGAAAAACCATGACACGTACAATGGGAATGTCCACCTTCCTAATTGTGGATAGCAATGGACATTTTTTTAAAAGATTTTTTAGGTAGGCCGATCTTTGTTTTTAGTTCAACTCAAATTTGTTTTATAAAATTTTACTTTTCTAGTAGGCAGCGGGTTCTGTCCAAATTTAGGATAAAACAAAACATTAAATATTTGCTTTGTTTGGCCATTTGGTTGACCCAAACCAGACCCAAACTTTTACAGTTCCCTGTAAAAGCATCAGTAGTTCCAAAGTACATTAAAGTAAAAATGATTCAGATATGAATGGAAGGTTACAAGGTGAAGATTTTGCTCATAACAAGCAAAGGACATATAGCTTTGCTATTGAAAAAAAAGAATGAATCCAGGCCTTACCACATGTTTACCTCAGTACAGGAATGTAACTGCATAGTGAATGGTAAGACACATTTTTCAAGGCTTGTTTTACAAAGAAAAATCTGATGCAACCAATAACCTTCAAAAGTGACCAAATTAGTAAAAAATATTCACCTGTGTGTCATTTTGGAGCAAGAATGAGGGTGTGTGTGAGTTTGAATTGTCTTAAGAGAACAACATAACATAATTTAGACCCTCCTTGATGCTAATGGTCCAGTTGAACTTCCCCTTCACCCCCTAGCTCCTTGTTACTCACCCATAAGGTAGGTCACTATCTTGCACATCAGAGCTCCAAAGACAAAGTCCTTGAGAATGCTGGGGATCAGGTTGAAAGGCATGCAGAATATGGCCATCATCAGGTCGCTCATGGCGAGTGACAACAGGAAGGTGTTGGTGATAGTGCGCATATTCTTATTGAATGTGAGCACCACGATGATCAGCAGGTTGCCAGAAACACTCGAGAAGAAGATGAGCGAGTAGAGCAGGATGCGGAGCGTGTGGTCCTCCTCTGCACAAGAAGAACACAGGTCTGAATGAAAATGATGCATCTTATGTTTTTACATGTTGAAATTCAATTTGTTTTATTGAACAACCTGGTGACTATAGTTGTGTGTGTGTGTGCAACTCCACAGCTTATTGTTTCTTTTTCCTTGAGTGGGTGTTAATGAACAGACCATATTAATTATCCTGCTAAGTCTTTCTAAAGGAGAGTTTTTGATTGCAGTGGTGGCTGCGATATTACTCCTAATCGGAAATGACATTCACCTAAATATATTTATCAACTACCGGTAGCATATTATGGCCGTATCAGTAGTGAACGTATCATTAAATGTATCATTAAAACACAACTCACAGATGCGTTTGAAAAATTCTGGATCATGAAATCCAGCGGGGACTACAACAGAAGAGATCGTATTTCCCCAGTAATAGTTTCCTTTTTTTGGTTTCTCAATAATTAAATATAAAATCCTTCTTGTAACATTAAGCCCTGTGCTCAATCACATCTTGAAGATGTCGTAGTTTCACTTTTTCCCAAGCAAGCACTTTGCTCCCAGGTTTGTGGTTTATTTGTGGTTTCCCAACTTTTTAAAAAGTAGAATGAAGCATCGACCTTTCAACATTCAGGCTCCACTCTGGGTGAGCGGCTCCAAGATTTGGACTTAGCGGCAGACACGCTGTCTATCTTCAAGATTAGGCTCAACACTTCATAAATAAAAAAGACAAATTATATGACTGGCTCTTATAGGGTCGTTATGATTCATCTCTGTAGTTATTACACGATGGGGTCATTAAGTAATGTTCTGATCGTCTCTCTCCACTTTGTATATATATGGTCATGTTGAATTAGAGTATTAGTACCTTAATTCACTAAGAGAAACACATTTTGTAGCTTAATATCACAGACATGTGTTTTCGAGTCTGTATTTCTGTTAATTCTGATAATTTGTTCATTTACAACTAATAAAAACAACATTTAGGATCAGAATATTACATCAGATCAATAAAAAAATAATAATACCGTATTTTCCGCACTATAAGGCGCACCTAAAAACCTTCAATTTCCTCAAAAGCTGACAGTGTGCCTTATAATCCGGTTCGCCTTATATATGTGTCTCATTGCTGGTATCATCGATTGGGTTTTTTTGTTTCTTTGATTTTGTTGTTTCTGTCTTGTTTGTGCCTCTGTCCACTTTATAACTCCATCTTTAAGTATCTCCTGAACTCTACTTCTGCATTGCACTGCTGCTCTGATAAACCAAGCTGAAGGCTGAATGCAGTCAGGTTGTTTCTTTAACTTTTAGAGTAAATATAATCATTATTAACTCTATATTTGTGGCATTGCATTGAATTTATTGATTTTTTTCTTCACATCTACAAGAATCGCAATTTGTGGCTGTATTCACTTTGATAAGTGGAAATGTGATTGTTTCATGGTTTTAATTAATTTGCAAGACCCTTTAGTTAAATTGTTAAAATCCATTTGCTTTTCTAAACTTTTATGTTGGTTTGTTGTTGTGTTTTTTTACTGTTACCTAATGTGGTTTTTTTCAAAGTAGCTTCTCCCTTGAATACAAATAATGTCAAATACAAAAATTCAATCTGAAGTCTGATGTAGTATCATTGTATCACATCTTCTAAAGTCTACATTATTTGCTTTTGGCTTCGGTTCGAAGCTTGCTTGGCCACAACACGCTTTGTAAAGGTTACCCACCGTGTCTGTATCCAGGGGGATTAGAGGTCCCTGTGTGCAGCGCATCAGCAGGACACCACACACATAAGCTGCAATCTTCACAGATGCACAGGTAGCAGCATGTGCAAACACACACGATTCTACAATTTCAACATTTCCACAATAAAACCAGGTTAATTACATTTGCTACAATATGCAGCCTTCTCAAATTCCTAACCAAAAATATATTGCTATGATCACATTCAATTTGTTGCTGTTTCTATGAGGGGTACTCATGCAACCAAAAACACCTGATGTTTGATCCAGAAACTCTGTCCAAGGCTGCAGAGATCTTCAGTGGTTAAAGTCTGGGGAGGTTATTTTCATAAAAAATATGCAGAATCTTTCAATGCAGGCAAAGTTTTCCCTAAATTTCCATTTGCAGAAAACAAAAAGCACAATTCCCGCCCCCATCCACTTTCTAAGCCATACGGTTTGGATATCGTAAAAGGACTTTTCATCTGCATTTGATACGACACTGGCAGACTTTGTTCTGTAAAAGACATTGGTTGGGGATTAATCCATATTTTATTCGCTGGTTGCAACCCTTTCTCACTGACAGGCAGCAGCTGGTCAGCGGTGATAACACCTCCTCCCCTGTGATGGCAGCTACTTGTGGCGCTGCACAAAGACATGTTTAGCTGTCCACCACTGCTTAGCATTTACACTAATGACTCTGTTACCACAGTGCCAATCCATGACTTCATCAAATATTATGATAGAAAAGGTCTGATTGAACTCATGACGGAAATGGAGGAGCATGAGATGCTTTTCTGTTTTTGAAAAAAGCACCACACACATAAGTATACAGTGTATACAGTGAGTAAACATCTACTCTGCAATATGGACATATTCAAGGTCTATAGCCATAATGTAACATCAGTTACATGTTTATTATTAACTGTATTCAGCAGTTTAATTACGGTGTGTTTTGTGTGTCTGTATTGTAGGTACATCACAGAACCCCTAGGTGGAGAAAAGTTTGTGTCTAGCTCTGCTGTGCTATCTGCACTCTGACCCATAACACAGGTGTCAGATGCTGAAGCAGCTAACGCAGGCAGCTTCAAGACTCAATTTACAAAGGATCTCAACAAACGGAAAGAAAACTTTGGACTGGTTAAAGGTAGCAACCGCTTTAGATTCAAGATTTATGAACCTCAGATACAGACCCTGGGAAGAAACGCTAAGGTGTGGAAAAAGCTGAGTGAGATGAGAGACATGGAACCAACACCTCCATACGTGAAATGTTGCCAGAGCCACCGAAGAAAAAGACGGTTCATCTAGTCATGGTATCAGAGTCAGAGTCTGATGTTGAAGAATTATCCACAGACAATACTCTGGGGTGCTTAGCTACACCTGCTGTGACAGCGGTGTGATAGCAGGCCACATTGTACAAAAAAGCTAGAAATGTAAACAAGTTAGTCGATCTAAGTGACTGGTTGAAGGTACTGTAGGTTAAATGTGACAGCAGATATGTCACAAAAGTACTTTGTTATGTTCATTTAAAGTGCAGGGATCTAGTTTGTTTTCTATGGCTGTATTTTAATATATTGGTTTGTTGAAATTAGACAGACATAAGAACAGGTCTGCTCGCTATGCTGTTCACATTTTTTTATCACATAAATGCCAGCTAATGAGACATTTGAGTTAACATGGTTAACATTTCTAAAGTACTGCTTGAAACAAGACGACTTTTAAACCTTTCTGAAAATTAAAAACCTGGAAAACTGAGAATCCTCAAATGAAAAGTTAAAAGTAGTGATTAATCATAATTAATCATGGTCCTAGAGTGTGAATAATCTGATACAATTGAGGTATATCTTGAGGTATATTGAGATATACACTTGTAAAGTGTGTGTAAATACACACTTTATAAATCAATGACTCAATTAGTGCCAAATCTAAAGGGCATTGTTGGCATTTTTTCGTTTTAATGAAATCTAAATAAACTAAATTCCTCAAAGCTTTTCCTGTGAGGTTTAGTCTAACTGGCCATCATTAATCAATGCTTTCTAGTATATTTAAGTACTAAGCAGTTAATAGTTGCATGCCACTAATAGTTTGACCCTAAAACTTAAAAATACAACATATAGTAGCCACTGCATGGCTTGTGCCAGCATAGCTAAGCTTCTACTGAACCATATTCTATATTTTGTATTTTGGTTCACAGTAATCACCTGAGATATACATACATGGCTTGTGCACAGATGGCTGGGAAGCATAATCCAAACTGCCTGCTTATCATAAAGAGTAAAATCGTAGCAATGTTCAGTTATGGAAGAAAAAAAAGAGATTTTAAACAGATGAATGGATCACAGCATTTAACTCAAGCATGTAGTTTCAGTGAATTAATCACAAAAATCCAACCCTGAACTGTTTTTGTATCACTTGCAGGCTTAGCAAAGGATTTAGCGACAGACCGGTCAGAAAAAAAGTCAGCAAGTCAGTCTTTTGCCGTCTCTTTCATCTCGCTCTCTCTCTCTCTCCCCACATGCACACACATCTACCGACATGTGGCTTCGCCATCTGTCACACAACCTCCCCTGCAAATATAAAGCTCTAATATGGTGGCTGTGCTGCTGAGAGAACATCAGGGTTACTCCATGGAAGCAGCAACGGTAGCAACTTAAGATGTTTAATTTGGTTTTTGTGTGTCTGCGCTGTAGCGTGCGCCCACATCTGTGAGTGTATAATGAAAACGTACAGACACGTGATTGGCAAAAGAAAGACAGCGCAGCAGTCGGTTTCTGTAGTGTCACTCTTCCTCTAGCCTAATGAAATATGTTATACTGGCTTCTGATTAATCAAAGCCAATTAGCTTTTTCCTGTGTGTTCCGTGAAAACTCCCTCAGCACATTTATCTATTCCTTCAGGCCAGAATTCCCCAAAGCTTTTCCTGTGATCATCGGTGTAGAGTGGAGTCGTTATTGTTTACCTTTCTTGCTATTCATCTCACTGGCTACTATAATTCAGTCCTGTTGAGTAGCACCAATTGACAAAGAAGCAATCTCAGTTGACCATTGAGAAAAAGTAAACAGATCAAGTTTAGTTTTGCACATCTGTATCGCTGAATTATTTGGCTTTTTAAAGACAGCACTGGAATGGATCCCATCCCCAGAAAACACCATAAAAAATAAACTGGTTACTTGTAATGACACCAGAAAGATAACTGTAGTAAAGGCATTATGATTTTGATCAGGAGTGGACTATGTAAAGATATTTACTACACTGTATGATCAGATTGTTGGATAGAGTACGAACTGTATGTAATGCAGGGA